CCAAATGGCTACAGTGGCAAAGGCTGTGCCAGGCTGAAGCCAGGAGCCAGGAGTTTCTTCCGGGTCTCCCACACAGGTGCAGGAGCCTAGGGACCTGGGCCATCTTCTACTGCTCTCCCAGGCCATAAGAGAGCTGGATAGGAAGTGAAGCAACCGGGACTCCAACTGGCACCCATATGGGATGCCAACGCTGTGGGCTGAGGTTTAACCCATTGCACAACAGCAGTGGCCCCTAGTATCTTAGAAATTTTATGAAAATAGATTTGATCTTATGCCCCACGCCCACAAGGGTCTTTGAGACCCCAGAAATTGTGCTGTAAAATGAATAAGCACAGCCATCATTGGTGATCAGAATGGAATTCCCTGGCGTGGACAATTTGATCATGTAAAATCTTAGAATAGTCTTATTCCTAGCTTAATATTTTGCTTAATGTGTGTATAGTAGGCAGTTGGTTCAGGGTAAAGAGTAAAGTACATGGCTTTTGAAGTAGAACGTATTAATTAGGATCATAAAAGTTATAAACATAGTCACACTTTCCTCCCAAGATGTTTACTTTTTAATAAACTACAAAAACCAGTGTTATAAAGAAAAAGTGCCTGGGCCGGTGTTGTGGTATGGTTGAGAAAGCCATGGCCTGGGATGCTGGCATCTCATATTAAGTGCCGGTTCTTGTCCCAGATGCTCCACTTCTGATCCAGTTCCTTCCTAATGGCCTGGGAAAAGCAGTGGGAAATGGTACAAGTGTTTGGATCCCACAACCCATGTGGAAGACCTAGAAGAAGCTCCTGGCTTCTGGCTTCCTCCTGGCCCAGACCTGGCCATTGTGCCCCTCTGGGAAATGAACCAGCAGATGGAAGCTCGTTCTCTCTTTCTCTCTCTGCCTCTTCCCTGTCTCTCTGTAACTCTTTAAAGTAAATAAATAAATCTTTAAAAAAATGAAAAAGTGCCATTACTGTTACGGCAGATCTTGACTTTCATTTATTGGAAGGAGATTTTCACATCAGCATGTTGGGGAATAACAGAATTCAAGCCTGGCATTCCCTTTTTCTTATTTAGAAGTAAAATATAACATATGTCAAATTGTTTCTGTCATGCACTCATTCCTAATATCAGGAGCTGAAAAGTTTTGTTGCTTTTATTTATTTCATTTTTGATGCTGTAACACAAAGTGAAAGGATATCTCCATGATGTTATACGGTTGTTCCCAATGTGAAAAATCATCATATGTCTTTGGCTTTTCCTTGTTGAATGATTTTAGAGATAATTAAGGAGCATATTTTACTTGTTAAGTAAAAAAAATGTTGGTTTGTACACATATACTTTAATTTGCTTTTCATGCAACATATTTTTGAAAATAAAAACTTATTTTCATATTCAACTGAAGTGATGAGAATCCTAAGGATATTTCAGATATAAATTACTGTGGAAGAAGCTGTCAAATTTAAAAATTTGTTAATAGTAAAGTGCACTGGGTGCCATGAAGGAAACCAGCTGTACATCGCAGCATCTCGGGCATCCTCATGCAATAAGCAGTAGCATTTATGTACTTTCTACATAAGAAGGTGGGAGATAAGGGAACTCCATATTTTTCAGAGCACGAGGAGGAATAGAGGAATACTACAGTATTCCCAACATGACATGTATGTGTTCCTCTTTCTGTTCTGTACAAAAGCCCCTATAATTCTCTGTGTCAATTGCTGCGTCATGATCTACCCTCCAGTCGCCACCAGTTTTTCTACCATTTAAGTTTTCACCAGAACTTCAGTATTCTCAAGAAGAATTATCAGTTGCACCAGCACCAGTGGTTTTATTATCTGATCCTTCAGGCAATGCTACCATTTCACTGAATGCGAACAGGATATTGAAAGTCTCTCAAAGCTTTGCAAGTGTTGGCTGCCTCCTGAGAGGAAAACACTGCAGAAGCTGGAGGAGAGAGAGAATATATACTTGTGAATCCTGCTCCTTCCTTGCTTCTCCATGGTCACAAGGTGAACGCAGCACTGATAGCAATGTTCAGATTTTTTCAAATCTTTTCAGCACCACAGTCATAATGACTAGGATCAGAACTTCTCAAGAATCTTTGAAAATGCTGTATATTTTTTAAATGTGGCAACAAAATTCTAAAAAACAAAAAGCCACACAAACATTAGTGAATATTTAATTTAAACAGCACAAAATATGGCATGAGGTCAACTTAATTAATTTTAAGCTTAGTATTAAAAGAATTTCATACCATGCCAAACAATCTCTAGATCGTTCAATTCTCCAAAAAATCCAAAATATGTGTAATTATTGTCCAGAAATCCTATATAATCATTAACTGGGTTACTCACAGTCCAATCATTTTAAAGCAGAAATATAAAAATTTATTCAAAATATATGCAGAAAAATATTACATTTACTGTAAGATTTAGGGGCATCTTAATGTTTGTTTCAATGTGTGATGGAACCTTTGAAACACTATAGCCATACAACTATACAGTCCTCTGGAGCTGTGCAAAGATAGTGATTGAGAACAGGCATTTCTCTTTATGAAGGCAGATAAATCCAGTACTCATAATAGTAGGGGATGCTTTGAAGGTTACTATGTAACAACATTGAGGAACACAATCCTGGACCAAAATCCAATTCACGGTAAACAAAAAATAAAAAGTACTTATCTTAAAAAAATCTAAAGCAATGAAAGTTTGTGTCCATTAAGAGCAAAAAATGAGAACTAATGAATATAACCCTGTCCAATATGCATCGTTTAATAAAAGTTTGATGATGGTGGTGAGTGACTGACCAGGAATCATCTCATCATAATGTCTTAATAATGGTTGACTCCAATGAGTTAAAATGAGTGTCTCCTTCCTCCTTTTCTTTCTTTCTTCTTCCCATTACTCCTCCTCCTTCTACTCCTCCTCATCATCGTCTTCATCCTCTGCTGCTGTTACTCCTCCCCCTCATCCTTCTCCCTCCCCTCCTTCTTCTTTCTCATTCTCTTAATCAATTATTGTATTACATGCTTGTTTTTTCTTGTACTCTTTATATTTGATCTTCACTGAAATCGCACAATGTCAAATTTTACTTCTAGAATGTCATGGATAGAGTTTTCAAAAAAAAAAAAAAAGATTCTTTTCCTTAGATAAAATAAGAATGGATGTCTTCATAGTTAAACTCCTGCTGATGATTTTTCTGGGAGGAGGAGAGCTCTTAGGTTGCTTTACAGACAGATGCCTATTTTCAGACTTGCCAAAGTTATGACAATTTTATATTACAATATAGGCACAAAAATAATGAAATGAACCAATAACTTGGTTTTCATCATGAGAATTGTGAATGGCCTTGTGTCCAGAAAACACTGGGGCTCAAAATCAAAGAAGAGTCTAGGGAGAGGGCAGAGCTACAGGAATCTATATGTAATTCAAGAGGGAAAAGATTAGTTTAAACACCACAAGAATGCTGTTTTCTAAGGGATCAAATGCAGAGAGAAAGGATGAGGCAACAGAGATATGGCCAAAAGGACACAGAGAGAAAAGAGGTGAAGACATTCATGAGAGAGAATATAGTCAACTTCATGAAATGTGGAAGCAAAGATTAAAAGTATCTGTGCAATACATATTCAAGTGTGTGTGTACATGAGTGTGTACAGGGGAGGGGACAGCCAACATTCACTAAAAATACTTGTTAATTGCCAGGCATTTTCCTCTGAACTTTCCCTGTAATTTTTTTTCTCCTTTTTTGCCTACCATTAACTCAGTACTTCTCTGCTCTTCTGCATAATAGGATATTTCATTATTTCTATTACTTTACGACATATAAAGAATAAAAGGAATGAAACTAGATTGTGAAATTCTTTTGACTTCTGTGTAGGTTAAAATATTCCTGTGGATCCAAAGTCATTCCCTCTGCAGCTTTTGTCACCTACTTAACTCCACTGGCAGGTGTTGAATACTGCAGGTTCCTTAGGGTCTTGCCCTCCTTAACTCTCTGGAACACAGTGGATACTCTTGATAAATATGTCAGGGTACTTTGTACTTCTCCTTTCTACACATTGCCCAATTTTCAGCAAATAATTTTAGGTTTATTATCTGTGTCCACTGATAAAATATAATTTCATTTGAATACAGGCAAGGCAATTGCTATCTTCCTTATGTCCATATCCTTTTGTAACTTGTGTGGTGCATTGCATTTGGCAGGTCTTTGATAAGTATTTGCTGAAGGTACAAAGAATAAATAAACTTTGCAAGTTTTACCATCCACAAACAACATAGAACTGTCCCTTCAAGGCATGTTGGTTCCTCCAATAAATGCTCTTCTACTGCCCTATCTGTAATCCCACCAAGAGGGTTCATCGCATTGGCAATGACATCACTAAGCACATCACTTGTTATTTAATGTCTGTTCCTAGATAGACTGAACTTTCACAGGCAATGATGGATTTTGGTCACTACTGTCAATGTTCTGGCTCACAGTAGGTATTAAATAATGTAATGGTCTTATAAAATAGCTTTTAAATTTGAAGCAAATAGATATTAGTTAGGGATGTCTTACAGTGAAACATGATAAAAGTAGTCATGGAAGAAAAGAAGGAAGGGTGGATTTGGAGAGGGTTGGTAAGATATTTTATGATGCATGAGTCCTGTGGACCAAAACTGAATCATAAAGCATCAAAAGTAATCATGTTGCTTCCTTTTCCCTTCATGTGATATTCTTGCTCCAGTAATTACACCACAGAAACCAATCTTAAAGGGGGTGCAAGGGCAAAGGAATGAGGAGACTTGGCATCTGGAGATTTGTTCATTATTCTCCAGGAGTCGAAGTATCCATAGGCTCCTGTTAAGACTCAGTTGTGGTGAACTTGTTTCATCATCTGCCAATTATTAACAAACATCATAAATATCTTGTACAGTTCTAAAACTTGTAGCAAAACAAAACGAAACAAAACAGACCAAAATCCATTTCATCATTGCAGATGCTGCTTGGCTAATATTTTATCTTTGCTCCTTATTCACAGAACCTAAAGTGAGCTGCAAATTAGGCCGGTCTGCGTCCACATCAGGTGTGCCTCCTCCATCAGTAACTCCTCTCAGGCAAGCCAGTGACCTGCACCAGAGCCAGGTACCATCATCGTTAGCCAATCGTGATTGACTTCCTGTGATGCCACATGCCAAATGCTTCCCACCTCTGTCTGTCGTGTGTTGCTGTAGACAACTTTTGCATTTGCTTTTATTTCTCTATGTGTGTATGGGTGGGAGGGGGGAATTTTAGCAGTCTGTGTTCTCATCCAAAAAGGAATCTTTTTCTTCCTTGTGACTGGTGAAACTTTGTTTGCTGTTATCAAATCGTTTTTGTCTCTGGTTTCCATCATTCTGTAATATAAATGTAGTAAACTTGTATTATATGTATTGACTTAGTGGTTATTTTTAAAATTTTTTCTCTCTTCCATGTTTTGTGTACTTTTATACCGTCTCTGAAAATTTATCAATATTTGATAAATTTACCTACTTTGTTTTATGTAAATTTCTTTTTAAATGTTTTGTCCACAACATTTGGGCAGATGTTGTCAATGAATTTGTATATAACTTTTAGCTTTTATCCTATTATACTGTAATATTTGTGGCAGTTTTACTTTTATTTTTATTTAGCTTGGAGCATGGTTGTAAGACACTCTGAATATTGATGTCCTTATGCATATTCATATGCCAATTCATTTGGATTGAATATGGCAGCTAGTCTTTCTTCTTTCTTAGGCCATAGAGACAAGTTGCCTAACCAGATAAGCCAGATATTTACCCAAAACTGTAGATGAATAAGCCAACTTTTAAATAAATCTCTTACACCAACAATACCAGAAGTGTTATCAGAAAGGGAATGTAAGTGTTCATGCATGGTAAATGAGATCTCTATAATCACTTGGAGAAAAGAGACCAGAAATAAAGTCATAAGCTAAAATATCATTTAATCCTTTACAGTAAAACATGTTGCTGTGATGTTCATATGGGTGCATGATTGTGAATGGGAAATTCAGTATGGGAAAGATCGTTACGCATAAATGTCTTCTCTGTAACTTGTCCAATGGAATTCAATCCATTGACTTAATCTGGGAGGATTAATTGTTGTTGCTGTTAAGTATCATAGGTGTTAAATGGGATAATGTCATCCTGGAGTGATTTCTCTCTGCTTCCCTTAGCCTTAATCTTTGCCTTCATGAAACTATTCTGAAATACTAAATTACAGAACTAGTGATGAAACCTCTGTCAGAACTGCCTGTTAGTTAATTAACAGATTTCATATTGATTAATTATTTTAATTGTCAGGCTACCCTAAAAAACATAACTAAGCAGAATAATTGCATTTTTGATAGTGAGAGACATTCTACTTCTTGGTATTCTTTTCTGGCTTAAATATGCACAGGCTTTGATTTATGAGTCTTTGAGGTGTCTACAAACACAAGAAATGAAAGACTTCTCTCAAAGATATCTGAAGTGTCACTTAGCCTTTCTTGTGTCTTAATTTAAAATGTTAAATGCCTTTAAAACTAAATGTAGCCAGCTTAAATAGCTTTTGGATATAAAATAGAAACAATAAAACACTGGGTGAATAAATAATAACACAGCCTCACTAAGATAAAAGCCACCTTCACTGATTAAAGCTGCTGCAAAAATATCTAAAACTGAAAAACACTGGATATAGAAAGAAGAGAATTTTAGGAAATTGGTAGAGTTTTGCATTAATATAATCAATCTTCCAGGTATACAATCCTTGCTGTGACCACACCCTCAGAATCCCACAGAAGTTTTGTGTGTGTTTTTTTTTGTTGTTGTTTTGTTTTGTCTTTATAGTTATTTCATCCTAAGACCTTTCAATTCTCAATGGAAGTGGGTCACTAGGGAAATTTCCTGAACAAAGGACATTATTATCTGCACTATCAACTCTGCTCATCTAATGGGATGTTCTTCATTCTTCAAAATATTTCAACATCAGAAAACACTTCACACTCCTTGTATGTTATTCACTTCCTTTCCTATTTTCAGAAGTTTTGGCACAGCCAAATCATAATACATGAGCTGTCTGGGCTATGAGTTAGAATGAAGCTAGCTGGCTGCCAGGTCTCTCTTCTGTGGCTTATGAGCAGCTGCAGTACATATTATTCCTATATGCATATGTATAACTGAAATCAACCTTGTTCTGTATTCCTATGACCCAGTACTCAACTGAAATCATCAAATACTTATTGCAGTGCCCCTTTTCACATAATTCTCACACCCTCAACCATATATTTTTACTGAGATATCTCAGTATGTCACCTCTCTGTGCTCAGGAATGCAAATCAATGGTAAATGATACTTAACTCGATTGAATCTAAGGGTGAATATTGATATACCAACCAGGATATGGAACACTAGCTTTATCAAACAAGTCATCACCCTGGTCACTTTTGAAGCAGTTTTTCCAACACCAGGATTCCCATGTGTTACTAAAACCCAAAACTCTTAACATAAGATTAACAGGCTTTTTACTAGAAAGTCATGGAAAACTATGTGATCTACTTAATCACACCCTTCCCCTTCTGCCCTGAAAAAAATAAACCTAAAAACAATTGCAGTGATGCTAGTCTATTGAGGAAGACCGTGCCCTTCAGCCACAATATGGGACACTACTCTCCCATCACAGAAATGTGTTTCTCTTCAGATTGTTGTTGACAGTCTATCCTTTTGAGATTTCTCAGTCTTGACTTCACGTCATGATTGGAGTTTTTAAAAAGTGTTGCAGGTAAAGTTAGCTGGAAATGCTGGACATTACTCCAGCTGAGATTCACCAAGTGACTGACTTCTACCCATGGAAGCCTAGAGTCAGCAGTGACTGACTGACCCCAGAAGATTATGAGGCAGATTCTGGCCCACCAGCAGAGTTTGTACATAAACAACATTTGAATATAAACATTTACTTGACATTGCAATCTGCTCTAGCTTCAGTTAACTACAGCAGACACATGATGAACAGAAAGGCATACACTCATTTAACCGGGATTTCAAAATCCAGAAGAAAAATAGGAAGCTGGAGAAAGAAGAATGAGTTGTAAAGCATTTAGACTTTGTTACAGAATATGTATTATTTTCTGAAACTCACCAGATTTTGTTCTTTCTTAATTTTTCCTAGATATATAGAGTAGCTATGGAGTGATCTGAGGCATTTCCTTGGACTTTTATTGCACTGCAACTGTGTGTTTCAACATTAGCCATAATGCAAATCTTTGGCAATCAGACTGCATATCTGTGCCTTTTATTAGAAAGTTAATTTATTTTCGTAATTGTAAAGCATTGAAGTCATCTATTGAGCAAAGAGCACATACCACTTCCTCTTTTTTTTTTTTTTTTTTAAGATTTACAGAGTTACAGGGAGAGGTAGAGACAGAGAGAGAGAAAGGTCTTCCATCTGCTGGTTCACTCAAATGCCTGCAATTGCCAGAGCTGAGCAGATCCAAAGCCAGGATTCAGGAGCCTTCTTAGGGTCTCCTATGTGGGTGCAGGGGCTCAAGGACTTGGGCCAACCTCTGCAGCTTTCCCAGGCATGTCAGCAGGAGCTGGATGGGAAGTGGAGCAGCGTAGACTCCCACCAGTGCCCATAGGAGATGCCAGGGCTACAGGCCGGGGCTTTAACCTGCTTTGCCACAATGCCAACCCTGCCATTTCCTCTTTTTTCCCTTCTGTAATAGAGTAGAAGCCATATGCTCAGAAGGAAAGCAAGCAAGAACTTTTAGACACAGAGAACAGGTTCATGTGATTCTCCCATTCCAGATAAGAGCAGACCTCTCTGTTCAGTGACCACTGTGGGGATGATGGCATCTATAGCCTTGCTGTAGTTGGTGAAGGACTAGCAACTGGAGCATGGACTTTAAAATATAAAAATCATGCTTTCCTTTAAGGCTGCAGCAGCCAGCATGTGTCTCCAAACAGAAATGCAGATATCCTCAGATGGGTGTTCCCAAGAAAATGAATTCTTTGTTTTTTGGAAGGAAGGAGATGAAAGTCCCACTATCAACTACCCCCCAAAACAAACACACACACCATATGTTTTTAGATAGTGTATCCCTATGTCACTTCAAGGAATTACATAGCTAGCACTGAGCCACGTATTGAAAGCTCATCTTCTCTATGATGCTTGTTTATTTTTGTAAACTGGATTATCTGCCTCATTTATTTGAGGGAGGAGGAAAACAAGACCATTGATAATTTCCTTTGGACATATATTCCAATGATTGATACACCAGAATCTCCTTGGAAGCCTATATACAGTGCCTTGACCTTGACCTCTGGAGTCATCATTTCTTGCTTTGTGATCCTGTCTGCAATGATACCTGTGTCCTTACTACCTAGGACAGGCCTCACTCAGCCCAGGCCCTTTTGAAATCCATTCATTTGAAACATAGGGAAGGAGAGAGAGAGAGAGAGAGAGAGAGAGAGAGAGAACAGACCCATCTGCTGGATCACTTCCCAAATATCTGTAATATCAGGAGCCAGAAACTCAACCTAGGTCTAGGTCTCCCATGCTGGTAGGTGGCAGGGACATAACTTCTTAAGCCATTATCTGCTGCCTCCCAAGGATATGCATTAGGAGGCTGGAGTCAGAAGGAAGAGCTCAGACTCAAACCCAGGGACTCTGCTATGGACCATGGATGCCTTAATCACCATTTTCACTGCAGCCTGCCCTCCTAACTACCACCCCCAGTCACTTTTGAATACTTATGGTCACAATTCAAGTTAAGACCATTTACTTTCAACTAGCCCCTTCAAAATTATTTATTTTATTTATCAAAACATTTGTTTTGATGTAGCCCTCTGATCCACCTTCTGCTTGGTGAGTTCCCTCCAGTGTTTTGAGAGAAGAATTGGTCGTCTTTTCCTGTGAACTGTACCCCTCCCTCTTCATGCCAGCACACCAGCCAAAAAGGCTGGAGAGAGAAAGAATGTGCCAAGGAATCTATAGCTTCATGTGTGTTCAGAGTGTGTTTCTGGACATGCCAAGGTGTCAAAACTATTTTCTATGAACTTAAAAAAAAAGAAGATAAATAAGAACTTGTGGTTAGTATATGGGATGAATTAGGTGAAGGGCTTAGA